CACACTCACACTTCTTTGTTAAAAACTTGTAGTTGAATTCTATATTATTTAAATAAATAAATTAAAAGATGAGAAAACCTCCCATGATCCAACGTAATTGTAAAATCACAAAAAGATAACAAATTAACACGGCGAAAACTGCTGCATAACAGTTACGATTAAATCTGCCAAAATTAAGAAATATCAATTACAAAGAAATAGGGGATAAAAAGAAAAAACTGTTACAATTCTAAAAATAATAAACGAGCTTCTTTGTTAAAAAGCTGTAGTTGAATTTTATATTATTTAATTACATTAAATTAAAAGATAAGAAGCCCCCTATGATCCCACGAAATTGCAAAATCAGGCGTAAAAAAGGGTAACAAATTAACATAGCGAAAATTGCTGCAGAAATCAGTGTTGTCTTCTTGGGAGAAGTTTAAAACTCATCTAATTTCATCAAATGATGACCAGATTGAACGACCATGGATTGTTCTGGGAGAAGATTTGAACAAATAATGACCAGATCGAAGAACCATCAATTTCGATGACAAATTGCGAAAGAAGACTACCCAATTGGTGGTTGTAGGCACGAAATCTGAAGTTTGTCACATAGAAAAAAGGTTCTTTGTTCTCGTCATTTCAAATTTCTTTATCTTCTATTCGAAACTTGAACCGAATTTTAGTATAACCAAATCAATTTGGTAGACGAAATTTGATACACGATTTTGACTTTCGCCAAAACAATAAAGTTGAATGAAGATGCGAAGCTTTTTAATGATTGATTGGTACAACAGACAAAAGATACAAGACAAATGAAGGAAGGTGTTAAGAAGAGAATCAAGAGTGTTCCTCCTCAAACATCACTTCACAATTTGTCTGTTTGCAGGCAACGATTTAAAAAAAGCAAATTAATCTACTGTTGCATATGTTTTGATAAATGTTATTTCATTGATATAGGTTTAAATGATCGGGGAATTTTTACAAAGTACTTAATGTTCTCTTATTGAATAAGGATCTTCATCCGATTTTGTGTGTTATCTGCTGTGTATGAAATACTCAGTGAATTTTTTATTATTCAGTGATAGTGCTATGGTAAATAAGGTTGTCCGGCTGAAAGATGTTCTGAACAACCGTGGAAATAGGTGAAAAAAAGGTTGATGAGTAAATGGTTATGAAATCACCGAATAGGTAATGGTCTAGATTGAAGTGGGTATCTACGGAGAAATTTGCAATTTTAGTTTGCCTCCTTATGAAGAAAATGTTTGCGTTCATGTGTTTTCCATATTAGCTGTGTGTGAATATGAATGTGTAGTGAATTTGGGAGTCTTTGAGGTCGCTCTGTGATGTTCAAAGTTGCAAATTCAAACAAGTAGAAGGAAAATTAGCAATATAATATTTCAAGGAGTTTTTTTGTACAACCAGAAAAAAATAAATAATATAAGATGCCTTCGTTTCAACAATGATTGATGTTTTATATGCGGAAAAAAGATGAGTTGAATCGCTAATTTCCACGGTTATTCAGTAACATCTTTCGGCCGAACAATCTTATTTACCATAGTACTATCACGCCACTTCATAATTTAGGTGATAAAGAGGTTGATGAGTAAATGATTATGAAATAACCGAATAGGCAATGGTCTAGATTGAATTGTGTATGTGCAGAGAAACTTGCAATTTTAGTGTGCCTCCTTATCAAGAAAAAGTTTGCGTTCCTGTATTTTCTATATTAGTTGTGTGAGAATATGAAATATAGTAAAAAAGAAGAAGAGTGAAACCCCACACTTTAGACAAAATTTTAAAAAATAACGAAATGGATGCCGAAACATATGCAAAGATAAATCTTTAAAGATGTGCATATTCCTCAAGTATAACTTTGTGCCTCTGAATGTCCCTGAGACCGAGAAAAAAAAAGCACCACATTTTGGAGAAAACTAAAATAATATAATGACACAAATGCCAGAACATATGCAAAGATAATCTTTAAAGAGCAAGAGAAAAATGTTGTAACAGAATAAAAGGCTTAATTTCTAGTTACTTTTCTTTTGCATTACGTTCCACTGCCATAAGGCATTCGATTGGTCAACAAATACAAATGATGCGGACCTAAAACAAATGAGAAAAATAATATATTAAAAAAGATTATGTTTCCCTGATCTGGAGAGAACGTCACATTTATATACCTTACTTTATCTTTTATTCACTTGTTCTATTATCTTTATCACATCCTAGAAAATTTGTTTATATATATATATATATATATATATATATATATATTTTGAAGTGCTACATGTTTTAAATGATACTTATTGCATATACTTTGAAGTGCTACATGTTCTAAATGATACTTATTAAGAGCGTAAAATATTGTCAATACATAGATCGAAACAATCATAAGCCTCTCTTATGGGTTTTGGATCTCTTTTGTCTATGTGTCCTAAAAGGATGGAGAGTAAAAAGAAGCTCCTTATATATTGGCTCAAAAACGGTAAGATATCGCCATGAAAGATGACTTAATCGACACATGCAGATAACATCTACCATGTCATTAAGTTTTTTTTATTATTATTTATTTGAAAAGGAGGACACTATAAATTTATAGCATGGGGTCGATCCATTAACCAAAAGTTCTTGGTACATTCATTTGAGAACAAATTAGTAAAGTATATTTTTTAGTTTTGCCTCTATGATGGTCAGAAAGAGAAAAAACAAAATAACTATTCGTGATGATATTGATGGTCCAACAAATACAAAAACCGGATCGAAAATTGAATATATTGTTTTTATTTTATCCCTAATTGCCTTCAACAATATTGGTCATCTTGAAGAAAATGGTTATAATTAATAAATCCATGCTAATTATTCCTTTTTATCAATTGACATTGTGGAAAATCTCTATGTGGAATAGAGAAGCTCCTAAAATACCACAAGCTAAAAATTAATAATGGCGGCGAGCAATCCAAAAGCATATCAGTTATTGCATATACTTTAAAAAAAGCAAGTTTTCATCCAATCATTCTAAGCTCAACTTTTTTCTATTCTTTATGTTGCTCTAGTTCTAAAGACTAAGACTTGATGTTTAATCCTACCTTACAAAAAAAAATACCTAATGTTTAATCCAAGCTAAACCAATAAAGTTACTTTGGAGGTAAACATGCCAAATTACAACACCTAGAAGCACAATCTAATAACTAAATTTTGCATTCATAACCTATTCAAAAAAAGCAGTAGATAAATGACGATGAGAGGAACTTACTTGAGATGCTTCCTAGACCACCCAACATATCTTGATGAGCCTCTTATAGCCACTAATTTATTTTCATCTTTGTACCTCGCAAACCAACTATGTGCAATCCTAGGAAAAATCTTCACAGATGCATGTTTACAACTTCTATGAGGTTTGACTAACTGGTTTATATAGTGACATCTTATTAGTTTAATAATTTTAAATAAAACTGCTTGGAACATTACAATGCCAATTTTCCTTCTACTTGTTTGACTTTGCAACTTTGAAATCACAGAGCTACCTGAAAGACTCCACAAATTCACTATCACACTTGCACCGTCTTAGGGACATTTAGATAGACAAAGTTGTATTTGAGGAAGATGCACCTCGTGATGGAACTGCATTACATTTAACGTTTCGCAACCAGCTTAATATTCAGTATTATTGGGTTCTTCTATTTTTGACTTGCTTTTCGCAAGTGTACCATGAACATTATGGAAGTTTATCATTATATTTCTACATTCATATCATTTATCTTACACGTGCAAGATCAATTTTTCACTTACAGTCTAAGTCTTTCTTTCTATAATTTCTTATATCATCAACTCTTTTTGGAGATCCTTTTTTTTTTCTTAGCCTAATTCTGCTGTTGTTGTATGGAAAACAGTTCTGAAAAAAGTTTGTGCAGAGGCAACAACAGATATTAGTCTTCATGCTGTCAATTCAAAGTTTATTCATTGGAGTTTTATTTTGAAGGGTTTTATTTACATATTTTTCTTTCCATAAATATGGTTGCTGTCACTGAATTCTGATCCTTAAGCCATACATTTTCTTATATTCTTGAATGGCTTGATAAGAAAAGTGAGGTGATGATATTGTTGACAAGCTTTAGCCTCAACTCTACGTCTTTCCTACTTCTATACAAGTCCAGTTATTATGTATTGTGAATAACTTTTCGAGATACTACAAGTAACTTTTGTGAGGCTTAATAACTATTTTTTATTTAGTTATCATATATATTTTTCCTTTCAAGACTCTTTTGTCTAAATTGCTTTGGCTTTACCAATTTTTGTCTGTCCCGTTTATATCGAGTTATTTTCTCTGTTCAGCGACAAAGCCGCTGAAAACATAAAAATTAAAGTCATTCTTCTCATTGTTGGGTTAGAGGCTGATTTTGAAGTTCTTAATCCGGACGTCAGGCTGAGCAGCACAATCTTGAGGAAACAAATCCTCAATAAATGTTTATCGTCATGCCAAATAACACATACATTAAATTAAGGTTATTTCCGATAGACCTTCGGCTAAGAAACGGTAAAAATAAAGCAACAAGCAAGGTTGGTGTTGGAGGTTACATGGCATTGGCTCAGCCGACTGGTGCCTATGATATCCGAATACTTTGAATTGGAGATCTGCAATTTTGGATGAATGAATAATATCTCTATAGCTGCACTACAAAAGTTGGAGATGTACTAAAGTTTCTGAAATACATTGTTATGCTGATTGTTTTAATATGTAAACTGTATCTTAAGGAGAAGAATAAATCTTTTAAATTGATGTGAGAATTGATAAGTGTTTACTGTTGTCATATGCTTTGGATTGATTTTCTACCGAGTGTAATGCAAGTTTATCTAAGGTAAATGAATATTACACATTAGTGTTTATATGTAGCAACTATTTTATATGATAAACTAAGTATTACTAACATTTTTCTATATTATCTCGGTTGACACGTTTGAGAAAGTTACAAAAATAATTTACCCCATTAAAATCATTTATTTTCCATAATTTTTCTAAATTACAGCCCTTTCTTTGCACTAAAAGGCCATTCACAATATGAAGAATGCGTGGAGCATTTCAAAAATCCTTTACATTGCTTGCAACATGCAAAGCAAAGTAGTTTATAATGCTGTATAGTTAAGGTGGCAAGAAAATCTAACAATAGAGCAGTGAAAATAACGATAAGATAACAATTTTGTGAAATTACTTTTATTTAATATTTTTCGCGCAACGCGCGGGTACGTATACTAGTAATAGGTAGTAGTAAGGCCAATAGGCTTCCAAAACAGGAGCTTTAATTCACCATAACTACAACATTCAAACCATGGGTAGGAAAGAAAAGAGGAAGAAGACGAGCCTAACTTTAGGCAGAAAAAACAACAAATCAGTAGCTTAATGTATCTCGCTCCATATTACTTAATTCACGGTGAATGTATAAAGAGTCCATAAAGTTGTTCCTGTTTAGTGATACAATGTTTATTTGAGATGTCACAAATGACCTTTAGTAGTCAAAAATATGACCTTATGTTTAAACTCAATTATACAATCCAACCAAACATTATAAATAATGAAACCAGTTACAACTGGATCAGGGAACTGAATTATCTTCTGAGACCAGCAGATGTGACAAGCATTTAAATATAGCCAAACACTCTTCCTATGAGACCTGCTCAACATGAGGCATCTGCATGAAGAGAAACTCAAAAGATTTGCCTGATTTCTCGAACTCAAGCATGCTAAGAGCAACTTCACAACTTTGTGAAACAATAGGCTCGGGATCCTTTGCAAAATCCTCAAGAAGTGCAAGACATTCGGCATCTGCTATAGACCCAAGAGCTTCGGCTGCTTCATGTCTAACCATTGGATGCTCATTGACATCTTTAAGAGTCCTGGACAGGGCATCTGAAGCCTTTTTGTTCTGCAATTGACCCAATACATAAGCAACCTCATGCTTTAATAGAGCACTCGTTGAACCTAGAGATTCAATAATTGCAGAGATAGCTTCCTCTCCTCCATTGTTTCGTAGTGCAAAAAGAGCAGCATAGCGTTCATACATGCCCTTTTCTTCACTCAAAAGAACTTCCCTTAGGTCCTCAACGGAGGAATAAGCAGCAGGAGCAGCTGGGTCTACTGACAGAAAGGGTGACGACACCACTGTTGATGACCCGTTATCAGTTCCTACGTTCTTCAGTTCTTTGATTCGACTGAGAGCCAGTTCACATGTCTCTCGGACCTCTTGAGCTGGATCTGAAGCCAAACTTCTTTCTAGAAGTGAAATATTACTTTCCAAACCAATTGCACCAAGTGCCTCTGCAGCCTCATGCCTAACAATCGGATGCAAGGAGAAATCAAATAGTACTCTTTCTAAAGCAGGAATGGCATCAGCATCTTGCATTTGACCCAATGCGAATGCCGCCTCATGTGCCAAGAGATTTGAAGGGTCCCTTGTCGCATTAATAAGGGCATTTCGTGGACCTGAGCCCCGAAGGTTCCTCAGAGAGAAAAGAGCTCTAAAACGCTCTGAAATTGGTTGCTCTTGGTCCAGCAATCTGTCACATAGAAATTTCTCCATCTCCTGAGAGACTTTAAATGAACTTTTTGGAAGATCATCTTGGTCCTCCACTCCAACTACAGTTTCAATCTCATCAACTCTGACCTCCATGTATATGCCTAAGCCGGAGATTGAAACTTCGCAGGAATAATGTTGCCACCCGACCAAAATTTTGGCAATCAGCCTTCAAGAGACTTATGCACAGGCGTGGGTAGCAAATATTACTAACCAAGTTTGGATCATTAAACTATTTCTTCATCACTTCGATACCAAAACTAATAGAATTATGAACCCTGCAATTGAAAAATGCATGTTCAGTACCAAAATCTAATGAAACTATGATTTTGTATCTGTTGCATAACTAAGCTTGTTCATCTTTCATGTTGGAATCATTCTTGATATGAAGAATGGACAGATATGAACATAGAGGAGTAAACACCTTATAGAAGTAAAAGCAAAAGTATAGTGCTAATTTGCAACACGTCATCCAGTCAATTTTTATTATTTAGATTAAGGTCAATAATTATTTAGCTAGTGATTGAGGCGCATTTGTTCCCGTGGTTGTATGGCCAGTTAAGTATTAGGATAAGCAATGCATCCCACACAGACTGTTTCAATGCATCAATCAGTTGAACATTACGACTCAACCTATTCAATCAGGTTTATCAAGTTACCCACTTCAAGACACCTAGACTGATGCTGATAAAACAGATAACAATATTGCACAAATATGAAATCAGTCTGCCTACTTTGGGGTTACCCTTATTAAATATCTAGCACCGAATCAACCCTTCTTTACCTCTCTTAATACGTTCTCTTTTTCACTCTTTTTATTGATAAGTCAGTATAGGCTCTCTCTCCATTCTTTATCCTCCAAAACAAAGTATCAACAGAACAACTTAACCATTTTAAAAAGAAAAAACAAGCTCTGTAGCATCACGAAGAAAAATGAGATTCTTTTGTTATCTACTCCTTAAATTTTTATTAGTTCCACAGGTTCTTCAATCATATGAAACCACAAATATATGGACCCTGTGTGTCAAGCTAGTTCCTATTTAAACCAGTCGAGTTAATTTATCAATCACCTCTCTCATATCTCAGTTTAGAGCCAATTATGGGCCATTATTGGATGTTTCTCCTACTCCAGATATACCTTATGATTGCAGTTGCTGCAATACTTGCCATGCATATGAAAAATTCTCACTTTTTTCAGCAGTGGAATACCCACAACTACTACAAACTTCCAAGCAAAAAGTTCATTGAAAGCACAAATTTTCGTTCAGAAAATAACACATCAAATAAACAATCGTGAAATCAAACAGAAAACCGCCAAAAGAATCACTAGCAATAATCAGGGGTTAGTAAAAGAATCACATACCGTTGATATCTCAGCTCTTTCGTCGCAGCCTACGTTGCAAATTAGGTTCTCTTTTTGTCGATTAGGGCTAGGGTTTGATTTTGGGGGTAGAACGTGTTTTTAAGTTTTTGGGGGAAGAACGTGTTATTGCCACGTTCTGCTAAATACGGTTATTATTTGCAATGGCTAATATATGAGTAGTCACTAAAATATTTTAAGTTAGATTTGGCATAGAGTTTAACAAAGGGGAAGTGCACGGTTAGCTTTTATTTAAAGGTGTCTTTACTCTTTATTCACTGTTGTGCTTAATAATCTTTTATATGCCCGGACAAAAATACCCCTGTATTAGATATGGGTGTTGTGTAAATATTAAGGACATGATGTCCTTAACTTCATGAATGCTGTGTAAATATTAAGGACATGGTGTCCTTAACTTCATAAATGATGTGTAAAATATTAAGGACATGATGTCCTTAACTTCATGAATGCTGTGTAAATATTAAGGATAAAGTATCCTGTATTTGCACTTTCGTAATTAAACTTTAGGACATTATGTCCTTAACTTCATATGTACAGTGTAAATGTTAAGGACATGGTGTCCTTAACTTCATGAATGCTGTGTAAATATTAAGGATAAAGTGTCCTGTATTTGCACTTTCGTAATTAAACTTTAGGACATCATGTCCTTAACTTCATATGTACATTGTAAATATTAAGGACATGACGTCCTTAACTTCATGTGTGCATTGTAAATGTTAAGGACAAAATGTCCTTAACTTGTATTTGCACCGTCTGTTGTTAGGACATGGTTTCCTTAACTTCATGTGTGCAATAAATGTTAAGGACATAGTGCCCTTAACTTTATGAGTGTTGGTAAATATTAAGGACATGATGTCCTTAACTTCATGAAAGTTGTGTAAATATTAAGGACAAAGTGTCTTGTATTTGCACCTTTCGTTGTTAAACTTTTGGACATCATGTCCTTAACTTCATATGTGCAGTATAAATGTTAAGGATATGACGTCCTTAACTTTATGTGTGCAGTGTAAATGTTAAGGACATAGTGTCCTTAACTTCATGAGTGTTGCATAAATATTAAGGACATGGTTCGCTTAATATCCAAAAGTTAAGGACATTTCAGAAACGTTTGTCCTCAATATTAGATACCTAGTTCAATATTTCAGGACGTTTAGAAAATTATGTCCTAACGTTTACTTGTTTCACTTAATGTCCAGAAGTTAAGGACATTTCAAAAACGTTTGTCCTCAATATCAGATTCCTAATTCAATATTTCAGGACATTTAGAAAATAATGTCCTAACGTTTACTTATTTCGCTTAATGTCCAGAAGTTAAGGATATTTCAGAAACTGAATTTGATTCTCGTTTAATCCCCACAAAAGAAACTCAAGTAAGGAATACAACTTCCCAATAGCAGTACAAACACATCCCAATAGCTAATTTGATTCAATCTATTTAGAGAAGACAAGGGACATAATCCCGAGATCATTCGTGAATCTCAATGTCGTCGTTTTGCCGACGTCGGTCTCGTCGATCAGGTCATTCAACTCGACAAAGAATGGCGTCAGCGTAATCCATCTCTCCTTCTCTATTTTTCACTTAGCACTTCGCGATCTAGAATTTTTCCCTGCAAACTTTTTGTGTGTCATTCTGCTTCTTCGTTTTTCAGTTTGTAATACAACATTTGTGAAGGAAAAGAGATAGGAGAAAGGGTAACCCCGTCTTTTCATATTAATTTTAATAGAGTAGTGCCTACTTTTGCTCAGCATTAAAAATGCTAGATAAAAAGTAAATACCATTTTAAAAAGTGGCTACCCCACACCATTTCTACTTTAACAAAAGCTAACCTAAGAGTCCGTTTGGACATAGGGGTAAGTGTTTCTCACTTGATTTTGGTTAAGTCCCTTGTTCTACCATTAATTTTGTCATCTAATTTGTGATTTGGGGCGAAAAATTGGGGAAGAAGATGAAGTGTTCTTGAGTTAGAATTTTGAGATTTTGAATGGGATTTTGTTGTCGGATTTGAGGAAATTTGGTATGGTTGGACTCGTGAGTGAATGTGCTCGGGTTTTGTGACTCTTGTTGGATTCAGAGACGTGGGCACAGGGGTCGGGATTTGAGTCTAATTTAGTAGTTTTTCTTGTGGAAATGATTCCTTTAGCATATATTAATGGTATTTTATTGCTTCTGGCTAGATTCGGGGCGTTTGGAGGCCGATTCGAGAAGCAAAGACATCGCGGAGTAGGATTTTGCTCGGATTGTGGTAAGTAACAGTTGTAAATCTGATCCTGAGGGTATGAAACTCCGGATTTTGTATCGTGTGACTATTTTGGAGGTGACGCACATGCTAGGTGACGAGTGTGTGGGTGTGCATCGAAGGGATTGTGACTTGGTTCGTCCCATGAGACCGTGGAATCAAATAACTTACTATTTATTACATGTTCCCTGTTTTCATGGAAATTGACTGCACTTCATGTTAGGAATCATGTTTAGGCCTTATGTTATCACTGTTGAGACTTGCGAGATCGTGTACTTGCCGAATTGGCTGCTAATTGTTGTCTTGTACTCGGTCGTAGCTTTTCTTGCTTATTAAGCCTTTGTCTCTTAATGTGCATTGTTGATACATGATATTATCTCTGTTTGGACTGTTTATTTTGATTTCTGAGAGACTGAGAGACTAGGGAGGTTGATGACTGAGTGAGGCCTAGGGCCCAGTGGTGAGATATTATGGCACGTGAGTTGTCCGTACAGATTTTGATGTGATATTATAGCACGTGAGTTGTCCGTGCGTAATCCTTGTTTTGATATTGTAGCACGTGAGTTATCCGTGCTGATAATAGCGCTTGGGCCGAAGGAGCCCCTCCGGAGTCTGCACACCCCCAGTAAGTGTCGGCACCTATTGAGTATGATTATTGAGGGCTGAGAGCCGAGTGATTGAGCTGTTGAGATGACCTGGGTGAATGTTGTCTCGAGAGACTATATTTTCTTTCAATTTCGCTGCACTTAGTTGTTATCTGTCCATGTTGTGCAACTCTCCGAAAGACTTGAGATCTGGGTACTTGAGTACGAACTGATTTGACTTAAACTGCTAAATTTGAAAGCATGCCTATTCTTTACTAAAATTTGCTGAAATAAACTGTATTGCATAGCTCGTCACTGCTTCTCAGTTCCTTATTTATTTCTGTTACTTACTGAGTTGGAAGTACTCACGTTACTTCCTGCATCTTGTGTGCAGATTTAGGTGAGACCAGTCGCGGAGGTCGTTGAGTTCGTGCGCAGTTGGCTATCGGAGACATATGAGGTAGCTGCGGGCGTCCGCAGCCCTTGTCTCTCCCTCCATTATTATCTGTTCTTTCTATTTTGGCATTAGTGGACTATTGTAAACTCTAATTCTAAACTGGTTTTAGATGCTCATGACCTAGTGACACCCCGATGTCGGGCCATCTTTTCCGCATTTTATTTTGAGTTGAACTCTTTTATGAAGTTTCTAGTAGGAAAAAGCTTTAACTTATCTTTTAAGGAAATATCGAAGTGTTTTGGAAGTGTGTCGCCTTGTCTAGTACCACGATAGGCGCCATCACGACAAGATTGAGTTTTGGGTCGTGACAATATCCTTCATATATCTATATATCTATTATTTTTTGAGATACGAAATGCGGATATTTGGAAAATATTAGAATTAACGTTAAAAGTGTTATGAAATATTATTTTGTGGTGGATGTCTATAACTCCTAAAGAAGTTACTCCCACTACTCTTCTCCATTATGTAGATAACTCTCACTACTTCTCACCATTATAGTTGTAACTCCCACACCTCCATAACCTCCCCATGATTTTCCTCCATGATCTCAAATGTTTAATGTCATGTTTATGACATTCTTTTGTATGCCTCTATGTAATCCTATAAATAGAGGGTTTTGGCATCACATTGTATACACTTGAATACATAGAAGAAATAAGATTCTCTCTTCTCTTCCTCTCTACATTGTTGTCTATTTTATTATTCTATGGTGTTACTTTCAGCTAAGTTTCATAACACGTTATCAGCACGAAGATCTAACTAAATATGCTCTCATGCTCTAACTAAATATGCTCTCATTTTTGTAACCTCCGTATAGGCATATATTGTGCACTATCCTTATACTACAATTCTGTTGCTAGAAGGAAATAAAGGTTTCACTAACTGATTTTTTTTTTTTTTGATTAGAAATTTGTGGTTTCTTTACATTTTCCTTAAGCGTGAAAGGCCGAGAAAGGTGTGCTTGAGAAATTAGCAGGACCTTCCAATGGTAAGATGTAAAATGGAGATCAAATTGGGGTGAATATCATTGTTGCCGTCTTCTGCTGCTTCTTAGTTGATAACTCCACTACCACCTGTCAACATAGCGGTTCTGACGAAAAATATCTTAAGTCAGGTTTGGAATCTAATGAAACTGTTTCTTGGCTGAGCAATCTAGATGTTACTGGAATTGAAGCCACTGGGATGGATGCTAATACAAGCCAATCTTTTGATTTGCCTGTGTATTATACATGTTCATGGGCAGTCATTTCTTGGCAATTGATGGAAATGTTATTTAAGGCTCCCCGTGGTTAAAGGCTCAAGGGTGATGCACTATGGCCTATTATGCCAAAGGTTAAGGATAAGACGGTAGGTTTTAAGTTCCACCGCACCATGAGGGTAAGACATCGGGTTCGAGTCCTGGTGTACCATAATGATAAGAGTTGACTTCGAGTCCCAACTCATTATGGTATAACATACTTTTATATGGGTAAGGCATTGGGTTTGAGCCCCAATGCACCATATTGATTATATAATGAAAGAAAAATAATGTATCTTTCATGAAAAGGCATGAAATGTCCCACTTGATTTGCTCCATTCTTGAAGAGAATGTGATAGCGGCGCATAATAAGTCTAAATGAAGATAAGTGGTTGGCCAATAAACGTGGGCGTGCCAAAGATCAAATAATAATAGTCATCATTATGGTAATTGTAAAATGAGAACAATAAGGGTTCTCAAAACAGTCATTCAAAATGTGAAGGCAATGTTTACCATCAAATTGGTGTGGAAAAATAATAAAGCACGTCGCTGATTATGATCCATTCCTTGAAGAGAATGTGACTTGTGATAAGCATTGAGAATGCAAACTCATTCATGA